TGAACCTTGGGTCACTGACATCCACTGATCTGATGAGCAAAGGCAACCATGCTACCCCCAGAAGCAGGAGTTCCTTTCTTGTCAGGCACACACATCATCCTACGAGAGTCTGCCACATCAAAGGTAGAGAACTTAGGTCCTAGGGCCACACTGTCCTCCACACTTGGGCCTCTTGGTGATTTGGATTCACAATGCTCAGGCATGGACACTGGCAACTAGGAGCAGAGGCTAGAGTGGGAGGTAAAGGAAAATTCTGCTGGACCTTCGCTGTTGCACATTGGCCCGGGATTGCTGCATGATTGAGATAGGAGGCTGAAGAGGGGTTCATGTTGCCAGGGAAAGGAGGAGATAGGGACAGTACTGACCAGAAAGTTTAAACATATTTCAGTCTTTTAACTACCCACACAGCCATGCCTGTATCTACATACTAGACATGAGCCTTAGGGAAGTATATGCTTTATCCCTTCTCTCTTTGTTCCCCTTCTCTCTCCTTCCCTGACCTCTCTCTTGCTTCATTTCTTTTCCTTCTCTCATGCCTCTCTCCTTCCTTTAACTTCATTCAATACACTTCTAGGAAATCAACAATGAGAGTATCTTCTCTCACATTATCTTGGATTGAAGAACAATAATGTGCACAACGTTTACACGTACTTTGGGTTATATACAATAAGGAGACATGTTTTGAGAGTAGCTTTCTCAAGGTGTATAGAAAATGGGCAGATGTCTTGGACTCACAGTGCAGCCAGTAGTTCACCTAGAATGGGGACCACACATGGCCCCAAAGGCTCACTCAGCAGACCCTCAGCATGCCCTCTGCATTACCTCCTAAGAATCAATGTTATTGAGGCCCCAGCAGATGGAAGCATCAGCTTTCCACTGCTAGACAAAATACCGACATATATAGCTCATGGAAGAAATGCCTGTCGGAGGCTATAGTTTCAGTGGTTAATATCCATGGTCAGCTCACTCAGGGGTGAAGAGGAAAGCTGGTTGTCTCATAGCAGCTAGGAAGCAGGGTAGGGGAGAACAGAAGGAAGGGGCCAAGGATAGATAGGCTCTGAGGGCACACCTAGACCCACTAGACACACGCACAGGTGTGTTGTATGCATCCCCCTAACAGCTTTTGGGCTATTAATCACAATTAACCATCATCAGTACATTTCTGAGGTGACAGAAAGTGGGGCATTGAAAACCACTGTGCTGATAAAGAGCCATCCTTTGTGGGCAAAGGACAGGACCTAAAACAAAGGCTAGAATTAGGAAGACTGAAATGCAAACTTAAGGATCAGCACCCACTATCCAATGGGACTCAATGAGGACTGGGCAGCCAGGAATCTATAGGGACAAGGAAAGTGTCCTGATGATGAAGATGAGGAAAAGCTGCTCATCTGTTGCTTCCCTACCCAAGCTTACTGCAGCTAAAAAAATGAGTTGCTATCAAAACTAGAAAACTGAGAGGGAGACAGTGGGTCATTTCCTGCAGCATGTATTTACTTGATCTCTAATACACATCACAGCTGTGCTAGTGGGGAAGGTCCACACTCCTGGAGCTCACACTTGAGCCCATAAAATTCATGCTCCTGCAAAGTCACTGTATGTCTATGGGAACGGGTCTGGTTCTCAAAAGGAAGTTGGGGAGTCACTGTCACAGAAGTGACACTTAGAGGCATGACTACTGATGATTGGTTCACTCTTTTATCTATCAAGCCATCTGCTCACTCAACCAATATGCTATTCAGGGTGAAAATATTGGCAAAAACTTGGCCTTAGGAGCTAGACTACTTGACTGGTTGAGCTATTTGGTAAGATGTCAGTAATGATAACACCTTAGTTTGTCGTTAGGAACATGAACAAGAGACATGGTGGAACCGTCATTGTAGGAATGCAGAGAGCACAGGAAACTAAGAACGTGGACATGTATGGTATGGGCATATGAGCAGGAGGGAGGGTGAACTGAGACTGGCAGAGAATAGAGAACAAGAGGACTGATTCCAAAAGGCTTTGTGTGCACCTGTAAGGAACAAGGGATGGGAAGCAAACAAAATGGCAGTTCACCTCTTTCAGAAGACCTCATTATACAGAAAATTTCTGAATGCTTTAAAAAATCAAAATCTGACATATACATCATGAAGACATGGAATTGAGAGGGCAATGTGGGATAAACATTTGACTCCCGGAGCAAGATCAAAGATTTGGACCTAGTTCTCAAATCTGAAAAGAACATTGGAAGGAAGCATACCTTGTAAACAAAACTGGCTACACAGTTGAAGAATGTCCATCTTGCACTGGATCATGCAATTTGTTGTCCAGTATTTTATGTACATTGAACAATATTTGGGAAATCAGTGATTATTGAAAGAAAACTTGCCAAAGACCTAATCTGTTTTTTTGATCTTTTTTTATCATTACTCACCTAGGCTTGAATAACATTCCAATCTGTACTGTGAAAGATGATGAGATTGCACTCAGAACCTTACAGAGAGGCGGCCAGCTCTGCCACCTGGAGAAGAATGATGCCACAGCTGCCAAAGGCAGCTACCTGCCCAGCCCTGCAGCCCTAGAGAGCCCTGTCCGAGGAGTGTCTCCAGCCCCAAACAGTGTCAAGATTCCACCACGGCCACATTCTGGTGAGTCCCTTTCAACTGATGGCATGTTTTCTTAGGCTCCT